TCTCTGGCATCCCAAGCCAGTTCTTAACCAACGCGCCACTCGGCCGGCCCACCTCTCCATTTCTTAAGAGCAGTATCTAAGCAGTTGCCATGGAGCCGTTTGCTGGCTTCCTTCAACCAGAGATTTTCAATGAATGGAAAGAATACTTTTTGAGAAGATGCAAGGCCAAATCACAATTACTGTCACAAAAATAATTTTCAGTATGGATGAGAAGAAATAAGCACCTCAAATGCAGGTGGTAACTATATGAATGAAGAAGGGATGCCAGTCATAGTTGTTTGCTGGTGACCTTGTCATTTCTGAGGTTACTATGCTCTGATAGTCATGTGTTTATGAAGGAAATAGGCAGATACAGAGCTATTGCTGTTCCATATGCCTATGTCAGGTAGCTTTGAAAACCAAGAAATACCTGTAGTTTTTCTAAGAAACCTGTACTTTTTCCAAAATTGTTTTGCATGTTTTAAGATAAATGGGATTATTAACTGCCAAAGTACCAACTGCATTTAGAGGGGACCTGCAGAATTTTAGGGCAAAAGAATGTCTACATGACATTCTTATGCCATGTAGAGTAGCACCACATTTTTTTGAAGATGTATAGTTTCACACATTTATGCTACAACACAAAGGTATATAGGTATTACTATATAAGCATAATATAAGTTGAACCGTTTGAAATGCTCAGTGTTTGACTCTTGTTTGATCTATGAAAAACGGTAATTTTGTGGTTCAGCCTAATACAAAGTTTTCTGGCTATAAGTCTCATTTAGGAAAAGGAAATCAGGGAAGCTTTTTTGATTTGTTTGTATTCGATCTCCCTGATCGTTACATGCCTTTCTGAGGGGTGGGGATTATACTCTTCCCCTCCCCTTTGTTTGAGAATCATTCGTATCTAGAGAGCTGTTTTCAGTAGGGCTGTCTTGTACATTGTAGTGTGTAAAGGAGAAAAAGTTAGAAAACTTGTATTTGCTGGGATCTCTCTGGGGGATGATTTTGACATGTGTCCATAGTTTGAAACACTGGAAACACTTGTGGGAAGGAGAATAAATTTTAAGAAATGCTTCCTTTGTGCCTCTCTAAAAACCATATTTTTCCCCCTCTTACAGGATAATTCATTTGAATTTGAAAAACGTAGAAATGAACCTGTCAAGTACCAGCGAGAGTTGTGGAATAAAACTAGTAAGTCACAAGGGAATGTCAGAAATTTTCAAGAGAGACTGGTTTTGGATAACGCCATAACTTAAATGTCATTTTGTTGTTTAAATTTCCTTTTTCATTGGATAGCTTTTATTCTCTTATCCTTATTTTAATGGTTTTGTCATGTCTTTTATTATAAGCTACTCCATATCTCGTTCAGAAATGGCTGATCTGTCCATTATAAAAATAATGTAATTATTAAATTTAATATTTGAAGTGCCCACACAGATATAAAACATCCAAAACTCTGAAAAACATAGAGATGGAAAATACTTTTAGGGGTGAGTGTGGCATAATTAAAATATATACAAAGTCTAGCACACTTTACAAGTTTAGATAATTAGATTTAGAGATATAAACAGTTTATTCTCTATACCTTATAAAATTTAGTGCTTTGGTAAAATTAAAAAGCGCAGCACTTAAGGTGATATGTACAAATTTTCTAGCAGAACTTCTAAGTGCTTAACTTAGATAAAAATAAAGCTATAGGCTACTGAAATTAAAAGCAATAATATCTTGCTCTTTTTTTTTTTCCCCTGAAATAGGTGGAAACTAATGAAAAAAGCCCATATTGTAGCAAAATTGAGTCTCTTAAGCCAGCCTGTAGGTGCCACTGTGTCTGCGTGCTTGAGGCCCTCGGCCCTGCCTTCTCTTCTCCCTGTGGCTGCCTTATCCAGTCTTCAGCCATTTCCAGTCCTAGGTCGAAGGCGATGTAGTTTGTTAACTAGACGTTTCTAAGGCTTAGAATTCTATGAACTGTCAGCTTGTAATGGATCGCTGGCAGGGCGTCCCTTTCAACACCGTTCTCCACTCAGTCACCCAACTTCAGGGGAGGAACTGAAAAGATGTGGGCCTTTGTGGTAGCATTTGACACCCTCTAAAGCTTTGTCTTTATGGACGCATGGAGAAACCAGAGCCCGGATTTGCACTTGCCTGTTCCACGTAGCCCTAAGGATTCTGCTCCTTGGTGTTTTCCTTTTTCCTCTAAAAATTTGTCAAACGACTAGAGTATCTTACGCTGATAATGTAAGATATTTCAAATGGAGAAAAAAATATGTTTTTAATTTTATTTTGTAATTAAAGGAAGAGTTAATTTCTGAAAGGCAGTTGATTTTGTTGGGTTTATTTGGTAAGGAAATAACATTGACTGAAACTCAAGAATTTCTAAAGAGATTAATAACTTCATAGGATTTGTTTTTTATTGAGATGTAATTGCCATATAACACTATATTAGTTTCAGGTGTATAACATAACAATTTGATATTTGTATATATATTGCAAAATGATTACCACAGTAAGTCTAGTTAACATCCATCACCTCACATAGTTACAAGTTTTTCATAGGATCCTCAAATTGATTCCAAAAGGCACTCTTGCCATGGACATAATTGGAAGATCCTAAAACATTTCTGGACTCCATAGAATTTTACTTCATTTTGGCCTTTTGTTTTCTTTTTTGTTGCTACTTGAAGATAGCAGCATCAGGTTACCCTGACATATTTTTTTTTCCAACCTCCTTACATATTTTATAATTACTTTTATTTGGTGAGTATTCAGCTTGATTTGAAACTGAGTGCACATCTTATTTAATAGCTGTATGTGGATATTCGGTTACCATGACCCTCTGTGCTGCTTTTATGTTATTTAATTTGTTCCTGAGAAATACTGTTGTTTTCTGTAAGATTTTATATACTTTAACAATAAGCATTGACTCTAGCATACAAAGATGAACGGGGCACACACAGTCCTGCCCCGTGGTGCATTTTACTGAGTACTCCTATTTTATTCCTTCTGTTAGATGGTAGTTGTTTCAGGTATAATCACAGTCGTATTCCCTTGCTCCACTTGTTTACACATCTGAAAATTCTGTAAGAAGCGGTGCTTTATTGAGTTTTTTTTTCTGCACAAATTCTGTTGTCCTTTCATATTGGGATTGTAAAAATAGACTTTTCAAGGCAGAGCACCTGGGTAGATGTGCGTCTTTTGGAACTTAAAACTGTTTCTTGCTGCCTTACATAATTACAAGTTCTTAGTAGTGTTCCCAAAAAATATATTATTATTATTAAAGATTTCTTGATTCCTCACACTCCCTTTTTTAGTATCTTGTCTATAAGCTAAATCTGTTGACAATAGTTTTATATTTATTGCTTGCATTATGAAATTGTATGAAGTTGTGGACTGAGCAACCTTTGTTAAGATACTGGTATCCACAAAAACAGCAGTAGGAGAACTTTAAAAGCAAGAATAGTAGGAAGAATAATTTAATCATTTACATAAAAATAACTTATCCATCATTTCTCCCTGTATCAATTTTTAATATCTGTTAGATGATGCTTACATTTAAAATTTTTTGGTCTTCTGGAATATTAGGAAATGCAGTGTCATTCTTTGGAAAGGATTTACCTGCCATTTGTGTGTTTATTTACTTTCCGAGTAACTTTGAGTTGTGGAAATGCTTCTGAATTCCAGAACTTGCCCCGATTGTTGTTTCTGAAAGGCAGAGAAAGAAGGAAAAAAGTTACATATCCACCAGATTAAGGCACAGATTGTGCAGACTTAGAGTTGACATTGTCTTAGAGTTATTCATACAAATACCTTAATGCAAGAAGCACCATGGGGACTTCTGAGGCGTCTTGTTAAAATACAAATTCTAATACATTATGTCGGGCCTAAGATTCTGCATTTCTAACAAACTCCCAGGTGATGCCAATGTTGGTGGTGGTCCCCAGGCTACACTTTAAAAAAAAAGGTTTTATTTTGACTTAATTTCTGACTGAACAGAAAAGTGGCATTAGAATTCTCTGATATCCTTCATCCAGATCCCCCAAATTTAACATTTTATAATATTAAATGTACTTTTTCTTTTCTCCTCTCTCTCCCTTTCCTTTTTTCTATAATTTTTTTCTGAACTATTTGGATAAGTTACTTACATAATGCTTTTTTATCCCTAAATAGCTTAATATGTATTTTCTAAAACTAGGACATTCTCTCATACAACCATAGTGCAATTAGAATCAAGAAATGAATAATGATACATTATCATCTAATCTTAGACCTATTTAGATTTCTCTAATTGTCTATAATCTTTAATTGCAAAATTTGTTACAATAGTGTATGTCATATCGCTTTAGTCTCTTTCAGTTTGGAATAGTTCCTGAGTTTGTTTTTATACTTCATGACACTGACAGTTTTGAAGAATACAGGCCAGGTGTTTGGTATAAAATCCCTTAATTTGGTTTTGTCTGATGCTTTCTCAAGATTAGATTTGGGTAATGTACGTTTTGCAGGAACACCATCGACGTGACGTTGAGTTCTTGTCATTATGTCTTGTCAGGAGGCACCTGCTGTTCATTAGTCCTATTATGGGCAATGCTGACTTAGATCTTTGGTTAAGGGGGTATCTGCCAGGCTTCTACACTGTAAAGTTAGTATTTTAATGTATTGTGGGGAGATACTTTAATCTGTGACTATCCGACTGTTCTTCAGAAGCTAGATTGGGATAAACTACATGGTGGTTTTTGAAGACTTAATGTGAAAGCAAGCATAAAATATCTCAGTAATAATTTTTTATATTGATTACATGTTAAAGTTACAATATTCTGGATATGTTGGGTGAAACAAAATATATCATTAAATTTAATATTGACCTGTTCCTTTATACTTTTTTAAAAAAGTATAAAGGATATTTAAAATGACATATATGGTTTGTCTTATATTGGACAGTGCTGATATAAATACTAGAGCATAGTTGGACTCAGCTCCTATATACATTTTCCGAAACAGTTGGATTTTAGTAGTGGTTGAGAATGTGGTAAATTGGTTGACTGGTTCATGTACCAGTATTAATAATATGCAGATCATATCCCAGGCACTTAAAGAAAAAGTGGTCTTTATAACCAGAAAGGTGCTTTTATTTATGGAAAGGACAAGCTAAGGGTGGAATTAATTGCTATTAATTTAAGTTCTCCATAGAATAAAAGTTAGACAGCATTGGACTGCTTTAAAGTAGAAAATTTAGCATTAAAAGCTTTTACAAAATAAAAATGACAGAAATGATACTTGTGAAAGATGAAGGAAGAGTTCACAGTGATGTCAGCAAAGGGTACATAACTTCTTCAGTAATTTTAGTAGGGAGTGTTTTCCAATGAGTTTTTCATTTAACCAATTTCTAAATCAGGATAAAGAATAAAGAAGTGATTGTTAAAGCTCTTGCTTGAATATGGATAATTTGCTAACTCTTACGAATTTTTTTTTGTAGTTGATGCAATGAGGAGAGTCGAAGAGATCAAACAGAAGCGACAAGCTAAATTTATAATGAACAGGTATGAATATAGAGTAACTCTTGGAAAAATAATTACTAGTAGAAATCTAGAGCTATTTGGTGTTTTTTTTTCACTTTTTATTTTCATATAACTTCAGACTTATAAAAACTGGCAAGAATAGTGTAAAGAACTCTCATATATTGTTAGCATTTTATCACATTTACTTTATCCTTATCTCTATGTACAGTAAGTTGAAGACATGGCCTTTTCCTACTAAGTATATTTCAGTGTATACATCCTAGAAATAAGAACATGCTTTTGTATAACCACAGTTATCAAAATCAGGAAATTAACATTGGTACAATACTATTATATAATCTACATACATTATTTAGGTTTCACCGGTTGTTCCAATAATGTCCTTAATAGCAACAGAATATCCTGGATCATGCATTGCATTAAGTGGTCATATCTCCTCAAGTTCATTTAATCTGGACAGTTTCTCATCTTTCTTTGTCTTAAATGACAGACCTTTTTGAAGAGTGCAAGTCAGTTATAGAATGTTCCTCAGTTTGGGTTTGATGTTTTCCTCATGATTAGATGCACGTTAGGTACCTTGGCCAGAATATCAGAAATGATGGTGTGTCCTTCCTCTGTATTATATCAGGAGGCACATGTCAAACCCCAAGTGACTTTGATCACTCGGTTAAGGTGGTATCTGTCAGTTCTCTCAACGGGAAAGTTACTATTTTTTTTTTCTTTTGAATTAATACATATCTTGGGGGAGATATATTGAGACTCTGCAAAGAGCTTGTTACTCTTCAAACTGGACCTACTGGTTTTAGCATCCATTAATCTTGTCTGAATCTGTTACTATTTTGATTGTTGCCAAATGGTGATTTTTCTAATTGTTTCTTCTATATTTATTATTGGCTTTCTCATATAAAAGAGCTTTTCCCCAATTTTAAAATTTACTCCTTTATTCACATTATATCTCTGTATATTCATTGATTTTTATGGTATTCAGTGGGTTATAATTCTTAGTCATTATATTTCTATGTTCTAAGTAACCCACCCAGGTTAGCTAGTGGGAGTTCCTTCAGGCAGGCTCCCATGTCATTTTGATAGTTTCTTGTCATTCTTTTGAGTGTTTTCTTACTTTATAGCTAACAAGATCTAGCTTCATCTTTTATTTCTCCTGCCTCAGCCTGGAGTCACTTATTTCATTAGACAAGGGACGTTAGATTTTGATTGGATCACAATGGCAGTCTGTCAGAAAAGAAGCCTGCACCAACAGCTTTCGAGCTTTAAAAGATTGTTAAAACATTATAGAAAAGGGGCCTAAATGTTTGAGAACTAGTCTGTTAATTTTTTTGTTAAATGTCTTATGAGTTTTGTGCTCTTGTAATTATTGAATGATTAAAAAAATTAGGTGTAACGGACTGTTCCCTATTTGAGGAGTCAAGATCTAGGTACTAGAAGATTTGCACTACATTTGTATAATAGACATTGATCTCTGAGATTTAATTCTTTGCTTCGGTCACTTTCCTTCATTCACTAGCAAACACGTTTTATTTCCAATTGGGCAGTAGGGTTACAATGAATGAACAAATTGGTAGTGTAGTAATCCTATTTAAGCTAATTAGCAACTAGAATATAATTGAGTTCTCCTCATCTGTGTGGCTTATTAAATGAAATTTATTTTTAAAAATTATGAATTAATGTCTTTTAAAGAAGTTTTAGTAACTGAAAATTTGTCTTTAATGTTTTTTACCCTAGGTTAAAGAAAAATAAAGAACTACAGAAAGTTCAGGACATTAAAGAAGTCAAACAAAACATTCATCTCATCCGGGCCCCTGTTGCATGTAAGTAATGCATTGCGTAGGAGTTCTCTGCTTTAAGGGGAAAGGTGAAAAATCTAGATTTTTGTGGTCTGTGTAATTGTATCAACCAGCTTTTAATGGGTGAGTATTTTTTCATGTACATGTTATCTCAGTATATTTATGATATGACTTGCTTAAAAATATATAATTTATTTAGTGTATTTCCCAGTTCTGGTCAATTGTTTGCATGTGGTATTTCTTTTACCCCTTCATAATACCCTGTTTCCCTAAGCTATCCTTTCAAGTTAATCAAAATAAGTTGAGTAATAATTTCATAGGTGATTTTGCCTCATACCTGTTTTTATTAAAGGACAGTGTTTTATATTAGTGGTTCCCAGACTTTGGTCGGTGTGGGAATTACTTGGGGAACTTAGCAGGAATAGAGAGGCTCAGGCCCTTTGAGTCTGGGCCTCTGTTCTTTAAGTAGCTCTCCAGGCAATTCTGGTACTTAAGTTTGAGAACTACAGTTTTGTATTAAAACCTTCTTGTGGTTATACAGTTTCTAGGGCAGTTTTCTGTGTGCATAGTTTTCTTTTGTGAGGTGCCAGAAAACCAGTCTTTTACTCAGCTGGCACCAAGTACAATCTGTTATATAATTTACTTACTTTTGCGGACTGCTAAAAAATAGAAATTTTGGTGAGATATAGTCAAAGACTGGATTCCTGAATGATTCCATGTGTAAACTTAGTAAAGGTCAAATTCTGTCAGCACATGTTGAATAGATTTGTGTTAAAGTCCTACCTTGGTGCTTCTGTTGTACATTTTGTTAAAACAAAATAGAATCCTGGGACATTTGTTTCCAGGATATAAATGATACAAACTCACACCCAGAAAACAATAGGAAGGAACTATTGTTCGCTAAGTTTTTAGGTAACCTTCTGAGGTTGGTAGTACAGAGTTTAGAGCAGGGACCATGGATCCATGAGGGCCAGGGTTCAAATCCCAGCACTTTGACTTATTGGACTTAACCAGTTGAGTGCCCTTGGGCAAGCTCATCTGTCTCTATGCCTCAGCTTTTCTCATCTTTAAAATGCAGGTGGTTGTGAGGGTGAAATGAACAAGTGTATGTAGAATGCTTACTTTATGTATGTCATATTATAAGACCTGTATAAGTTTAGTTCCATTCTTAAATTTCTTAGATATGCTAATGTTATTTTAAAACATCCAAGATCCTTTATAAAGTGTCAATGAGTTCTGCATGGTTACATTGAATTGATAAAGTTTTTAATTCTTTTTTTTTTAAGGCCAAGGAAAGCAGCTGGAAGACAAAATGGTACAGAAATTACAACAGGATGTGGACATGGAAGTTGTTTCTGAAAATCTTTAACTGTCTGTAACCATTCTTATGAGTGCATTGGAAAATCTCCTTTAGAGACTTAGAACATTTGAATTTGATTTTTTTACATAAGGTGACTCAAATGAAAAGGTGACTAAAACACATCTCTTCTACGTTGCTATCTGCAAAACATCAGATATTATGGATGCTGGGTTGCATCTCAGTGCTTCACTGATAGATGTACTTTTGTAAATCATGAAAATTCTGCAAACAGGTGAATTGTGGACATAAAATGGCCATGCCACTTGGATAATGGCACTAGGCAGTATGTATGTAATACTAATGACAAAAACTCATGGCTAGCAATATGTAAAATAAAATTTTCTTTGCAGTAAAAATATTCCCTTTATTAATGTTATAGAAAGGGGGATACCATGAGGAACTAACAGTCTGTGTGATAATTAGCCTCAAGCACTGATGTCTTATTTATTTATTTTGAAGATTTTTTTATTAAAATACAGCTCACATACAATATTATATTAGTTTCAGGTGTACATTATAGTTATTCAACAGTACCCACCTAGCATTATACAGTGTTATTACCATATTATTGATTTTATTCCCTATGCTAAAGAAGTGATCACCATAAGTTCAGCAACCATCTTGACACTGTACCACTCTATCACAATATTATTGATCTTCCCCCCCACCTTTAAAATTTTTCAGTTAGAGTTGACATTCAGTATTTTATATTAGTTTCAAGTGTATGCGTAGTGGTTATACATTGATACAATTTAGGAAATTTCCCCCTGACTAGTACCCACTTGGCACTATACACAGTTATTACAATTATCATTGATTATATTCTCTATGCTGTACTTTACATCCCCATGACTATTTTGTAACTACCAATTTGTATTTCTTGGACCAATCACTGGACCAAGTGTTAGAAGACCTGAATTGCAGTGTGATTTTGCCTTTGTGTTCTTACTTGTAAAATATGGCTCATTTGTAAATAATATTATTGATGTGACAGTTAGGGGAAATATATATGCAATCAAAGACCTTTGTAAAATTACTTAAAAGTTCTCACTCCATACTAAATTCATGTTGGTTTTAATATAAACATGTTCAAAATTACATATTATTAGGAAGCAAGTTTCCTATCATGCTAGTTAGGGTGCAACTTGCTCTTGCCCTAAGACCATTAATTTGGGGAAATTGAGCTAAAACAAAGAGCTCACATTGCATCTCAGGCTTAACATCCAGACAGTATGTTAACTGTCTCTCAACTCTCAGGATGGATTTTATAGTATTTTGAGACCTCGGATCTCATAAACTATATGTATGCAAATGCCACAGTTTTATCCCCCTACATCTGTCTAAGCTTGGTTGGATCACTGGGTGGAGTTGTCCCTTTAAAATGTTACCTGAGAAGAGGTGGCGTGGAACAATGCTTTTAGGCTACTATTGTTTCAGCTTTTTTCAGCGGACATCATTTCTTTTATAGATGGAAAAATTATAGGTCTAGGTAACTCGCCTCTATTGCACAGCTAGAAGATGGAGGAGGCAGGCACTGGTTTTCATTCAAGTCTGTCTCCAAAGTTACTCTGCATATATGTAGAAGGGATTTATCTAGAGCCTCACAGAGTCAGTCTTCACAAACCCAGGTGTTTGCTGTGAGAGATGACTGTATAAGTTGCTTGAGTGATGCTCGACTATAACTTGGTTTCTTCATCTGATAAATGGAGATGATAATATGACCAACCTCAGTATTTTTTATGGAGATCCAATCAGTTAATACATGTAAAATTGTCATTTCAAGGCCACCATCTGAGTAAGCTAGTGTTAACATGATAGCTATTAGGATTGGCTGTGTATTCCCTCACCTCTCCCCATTCTTTAGCTTATATTTTAAATGAAGGTCAGGAAAAAGACATCAGGCTTTAATCACTCAGATTTATAGTGTAAATTACAGTATTGAATGACGACTATCTTGTAACAGTTAACATGGCAGCCAGCTGAATTAAAAGTGCAGAAAGATAAAGGGGAAAGAAAAAATATCAATTTCAAAGGATATAGGAATTTTCTAAAATCTACACCCCTTTATTGATATATAGCAGACTTGAAAGATAACATACACATTTTACCCTGCATGTCTTTATCTTAGTGTGTCAATCAGCCTCATGTTGATTTTAATCATTTTTGTATCTTGATGAATTGGTTTTTATAGGAGAAATGACCTTTTTCTAAGAATGTATTCTGTTCTGAATGTTAAGAAACTCAACCTTCTGGTGCCATGGGGTGAACCTCTGACTTAAGTTCTCCTGCTTGAACATTCTCCCTAGATTTTGAATCTTTAAAACAATCTATTTTCCAGTTACAGTTGGCATATATTATATTAGTTCCAGGTGTACAGCATAGTGATTAGACATATACCTTATGAAGTGATCACCGTGATAAATCTAGTACCTATCTCACACCATACATATTTATTACAATATCACTGACTTTATCTATTCCCTATGCTGTACTTTGTTCCCACATTTTGAATGTTAATTGAAGGTGTGGGGTTGGAGGCATTTCTGCCACATGCCCTTCCCTGGGGTGCTGGTTACCAGATCTAATTCCCTAGCTTCCCATTGATTCTGTGACCACCCCACCCCACAACCATCCTGCCAGTGAATTCCCTTTGCCCGAGTTTGTAACCAAAAGTCTTGACTGATGGACATCCCCATCCTCTCCAGCAGATCCAGGCAACCCATTTCTGTCCTAATCTGTAAGAGTGCAGGGACTGTTTCTATTTTACCCCAGACACATACTAAATACCTGGTGCACGGAAGAGGCTCAGTAATGTGATTAAATGGAAAGTTAGTGTATAGCCATAGGCTGGGTCTACTTCGGTATATTTTAAATAACCGGTAACATGAAAGATAAGAATAAATGATCAGCAGAGAGAGAACATTAACAATGTAAGCAGCCTGCCTGTGTCTTCACATCTGCTCTATTCAGAAGACTTGCTGAAGAGCAGTGCGTGCCTGGGGCTACATACCCGATTTTGCTTCTTTGGGTATTTGATAGACCAGCCTGCATTTCTGAGTCTGGCTAGAGTATTCACGTGTTGAGAATTCCCAAGAAGGACTGAGCATGGGCTGTTTTCTCAGGTTTCTTGTTTTGCCTAGAACTTGCTTTGCTGATGGAAATAGTACTTATTTCAGGAGCCACAGTCTAAAAATAGAAATAAGGACAATTAAATGGTGAAAATCTGTTAAAACTAGAGTATTGCTCTAAAGCAGTGTTAGCCAACCAAAAAAATACAGGAGACTGGCCTCTTTATATTTTGAAAAACTTTGTTTTCAAATGCCAGCTTTTAAATACTTGTTGGGCCGGCCAAGTGGCTCAGTTGGTTAAGAGCTTGCTCAAGAGGGCGAGCTCTGAGCAACAGCAGTTCGATTCCCGGCCCGAGCTGAGCAGCTGCTGAGCTGCCAACAGGTGGCAGGATGGCTCAGCTAAAAAAAAAAAAAAAAAATCTAAATACTTGTTTAGTATATTCCAATACAGTATATATACATTTGGTTTGACACCAAGCCATGGACTCTTAAGAGGAACACCAATGGAAAAAAAATGTATGCCATTTTAGTAAGTTATCCCACATAGGTTAGTGCACACTTAATGGTATTGTCACATATTTCCTCTTCTGATATCAAGGAATGCGGTGTAGGCAGTGAGCAAGTATTAAGGGCAGTACACCTGATTAAAAGGATTCTCCATTCGAAAGTAAATGATACAACATACTTGCTCATACTGTGCTAAACTCTAGGTGCTCACATTGCATTCTGCACTGAGTTTGCCTTCGGTATTCCCAGATTTTTCTTGCTGCCAAAACACTACAAAGCTAATAGGCTTTCAACTGTAAAGATATAGTTTCCCCATATCTAGAAGATGCACAAGAAGAATCACCAGAAGACTATACAATGGAAATAAGAGTTGTGTAGGGAAAACATGAAGAAAATATCCAGGTCACAACCTCTCAGTATCTTTGATCACATATTTGTAAACAGGTAGTATGACCTAGTCTCAGAGTTGTGAGAATCCAGTGATATAATAATTACAGCCAGGTATACTGCATATGTTATCTCATCACACTCAACCCCTTTAATTCAGTCCTCATTTCACAGATGAGGAACATGAGGGTAAGAGAAATTAAATGGCTTGATCCACATCACTAACAACTAGCAGAGCTTAGATTCAAAGCTCCGTCTGACTCAATCGCTAGCTGAGATATCTTAAACAGGAGCCAGTATTGTGCCCGACATACTGTGCTCAATATGTGCTTATTTAAGGGAAAAAATCTAGCAGTGAAAGTGTCATTTCTTTTAAAGAAAAGGATAGATTTTTACGGAATACTTTAATTTTACCTGTTCTTTTGGACTGAGAGGTGATCGTCTTTCCCAGGTTGAGTATAATTAAGACAGCAAATTTAATGAAATGAAGGTTCTTGAAATTTATTGCTTAAAAAAAAGGTACAGCAATGCCAGTAATCATAGTATAGTTATTGGGTGTAATGTTAATTTAGCATTGAAATGCATGCTAATCTTGTTATCCAAAGAAGAATTTTTTTTTTTTAAAGATTTTTATTGGGTAATGGGGGGATGGGAACAGTACTGGGGAATTAGGGGAAGGGGAACAGACAAGTTGCTGTCGTTTTGTTCTTCAATCTAGTTGTGGAGGACACTGCTTCACTGGCCCAAGTTGGCACCATCATTGCGCTCTTCCCTGGCGAGGCAGATCAGTCGCCGGCTTCTGGA